GAGGAAATAATTAAATACGAGAAACTAAATTGTCTTTTGAACGATACTCACTAGAGATATGATGATGGGTAAAACAAAAACGTGGTTTATAGCAGGAACAAAACAAGAGAATGACCATTTGACAACTTGGACTTTATATAATACGACAAATACGAGAACGGAGAACATGACAATGCAAAGTCAGAAAAGGAAAAGAAACGACAAAAAACGGCGATCTAAACGAATGAGACTTAAAATACGAAGAATGCCAGTGTCAACACTGGGAACACAACAATATTAGGTGACAAAACCATTGAATGATAGAATTTATCACACATACACTGGGTGGTCAGCACTCAACACACGACACCAGACACCATCGTCGACCGCGCTGCAGCGATGTGTGATAAGAACAAATATAATAATATAAACGATAAAATTATAGAATTGCCATTTCGGCGCTAACATTTTCTCCCCGCTTTGAAGGTACGCAGGACTTTCAACAAACATGACACATTAAATACAAATATTATATCAACTTATGTCAACTAGAGCTAMTACTAGTAATAATACAAACCAATATATAATATTCAGTCTTAAAGATACATGAGATGAAATAATTTGACATAATAAAATAACAGTATGGGCAAAAATACAATAATACATAATAGGCGATGAGTTGATTAGACAAGCTCCTCTTCATCCTTGACRTTGGGTAGAACAGCAAGTTTTGTAGCTGGACGCTGGAATTCTCTTCTCGCTGAGTTACGTACAGTGACAACACGCACCACTCCATCTGACCCAGGATGAACTTGAATGACTCTGACCATAATCCACTTCATTGGTGGCAAATTGTCCTCATTTGCAAGGGATYCAACTTCAGTATTGTCCTTTTTTGAGAGCCAGCAACCTCTCTTATGGAGTTGTGGTAAGTACTCAGAACTCCAGCGATTCCAAAACGTCTGAGCTTGTACCTTTACGAGTTCTAATCGCCTTATTCGATTCAAGGGTATGCCAGTACTGTCTGGTTCAGCAGGCAATGTAAGAACACCACCTACCAGAAAGTGACCCGGAGTCAATGCAGTAAAATCTGATGGATCATCCGACATTGGTGATACAGGGCGCAAGTTTAACACAGCTTCTATTCTGCATAGCATGGTGCCCATTTCCTCAAAGGTAAGAAGGCCCATAGTATTCACTTTTAACAAATGTTTTTTGGTCGACTTGACCGCAGCCTCCCACAACCCACCAAAGTGGGGTGCTGACGGTGGTATAWAATGCCATTGAACATGGTGATGCGACAGCTCTTCTTCAACTGTACGTTGCCCCTTGRTTTTTWTGAAGTATGAATATAACACCTTGTTGGCCCCTACAAAATTAGTTCCATTGTCACTGTAAATGTGACTGCAGTGTCCTCGGCGTGCCATGAACCTGATCAGGGCAGCCAAGAATGCATCGGATGTGAGTCCATTAACCAAGTCTAAATGCACAGCACGCGTGACGAAGCAGACAAAGACAGCTATATAACACTTGACGCTCACAACTCTTCTGATGCCACTGCGAATGAGAATAGGACCACAAAAGTCGACGCCTGTACGAGCAAATGGCCGCTCAATATTTACTCGCTCCCGTGGAAGGGGCGCCATTAATGGAGTGATGAATTTAGGACTTGAACGGAAACAGGTAATACAATTCCTCACTGTTTTCTTCGCAATTAACCGCCCACGCAGCGGCCAATACCGTAGATGTATATTAGCTAGCAGGCCTTGTGGGCCTATATGAAGCAATCTATTATGTTCATGTTTAAAAATGAGTTGAGTCATATTGCTCTTGGATGGTAATACTATGGGAGATTTACTATTAAACCCAATGTCAGCATTCGATAGTCTGCCACCCACCCGTATAAGTCCATCAGTATCCATGAAAGGATTGAGGGTGCRCAGAGGAATACGTCGCCCTACCATTTTGTCGACTCTTAAATCAAATACTTCTTGCTCAAACGCACGCGTTTGAAGATTTTTTAGCAGCAGTGTAATGGCCTTGTTGATCTCAAGAATGCTTAGAGGGTCAACATGTCGTGTCGAAGGTTCGCTGTTGCGAGCATTGCTGCCAAAACGTAATAAATAGGCGGTGATTCTACTCAACCTTGTCCATGAGGAGTATCTATCATTAAGGAAGAACTCTGTTTGCTCATTAACAACAAGGATGGAATGTATTACTCGAAGTTCAGGCATTTCWAATGGTACAACAACATTACTGGATGGCCAATTACATTCAGCTTGAGATAACCACTCAGGTCCATGCCACCATAAGTTGTTATCGGATAGAGTTTCAGCTTGGCAGCCGCGAGTAATTATGTCT